TTTCTGGTTGAATATGGACGAATCAGATAATTCCTTTAGGATTGACCAGAATTCCTTTAGGATTTACCAGAATTTCTGTAGGATTACAGGAATTCTGGTAAATCCTAAAGGAATCATCTGATTCGTCCATATTCAACCAGAAATTTTTTTCAGTGTAATAATATCTAAATAATATTTTTTAGCACAGTTGAATTACAGTTGAATGATGTTATTCTTTTAAGTTTCGAATTCCGCCATTTTGAATTATGAAAATCTGATAACGGATTCGTAATCAGCGACCCCACACTGAAAAAAATTTCTGGTTGAATATGGACGAATCAGATAATTCCTTTAGGATTTACCAGAATTCCTTTAGGATTTACCAGAATTTCTGTAGGATTACAGGAATTCTGGTAAATCCTAAAGGAATTCTGGTAAATCCTAAAGGAATTATCTGATTCGACCATATTCAACCAGAAATTTTTTTCAGTGCAGAAATCCTTGTGTACAAGTTCACAAAAAATGGCCCAATAGAAAACGGTGTACCTCAAAGGGTTAACGCGCGCGATGCAACCGATCGATCGTTTCGGGCGAAAGATCGTACGAGACAGCAGGACATGTATAGCACATCTAAGTGAATTTAGACCAATTAATACATTGAAATTGGTTAATTAAAATTAATAATTAAGATATTGATTTTAATAGAGAGCGAAATAAAATTTAATCACCGTTGCCGCGCAATATTACGGCCTCGGCGTAAACATCGGTACAGGCAACATCGTTAATTACGATGTCGATTGAATCTCATTAGGTGAGAGGCCGTTTCGAGCGCGAGCACTACGTCATTAGGCGACTTCCTGGACGACGGCCGACGACGATGCGCTTGATCTGGCGCATAGAATTCGCGGGACGACGCACGTGATAAATCACTGCGGCAGCTAGCCGCGCGCGCGATAAACCGCGAGCCCCCGCGAATCGCGCGCGATTCTCCCCGCAAATTTATCGTCGTCTGCCGCCGACAGCCGCGCGCGCGCGCGCGCGCGACCGCGTATTAAAGGGATATGGCAGCGGAAAATTATAAAAAGAGAAATAAATTTCGCCGCGCGCGATATTATCGCTCGTGTCCCCGATGCGCGCTTTGATAACCGAACGCGGGACGGATAGTCCCTAAAAATTGCTGAAAATTTCGCGGGAGATACGTCCACTCGGTCCACCAGCTGCGCCCTTGTACAAACTTCAAAATTGAAAGCGCACGGTTTAAACGAGGCTGTGTTTTTTTCCAAACAGCGATTACAATGACCCAGAAACGGAAGCTCGAAGCGAGTTACATTCCGGGGAGAAAGGGAGTGCAAAATATTTTCCCGCGTGGACCGTAAATGTGAAATGGCGAAAACATATAATAATCGGTACACAAATAAAACATAATTTACTTTTCTCGTAATTTCTACAGTGATAACTCTTTCGCGTATTCTCTCATTCAAGACTGTTTAACCAAAACACTGCTCCGTTCCTGTATTTATTTGTATTAAATTTACATTTGGAATATTCCGCACACTTTTATTAAATAATTGTAGCGGAAATTGCTTCTACTCTTCAGTCAGGTGAATCGATTAAATAATATTTTTCACGTGCAATTTCCATAAAATAAAATCGGTTATTTTCCTTTATGCACTACTTTTTAAATGTGAGGCAAAGGTCAATACAACAATATATTTTATGAATATAAATTTTGATAATTATTATATTTTAGTGGCTTTTGAATTTTTTAAATTAAATATTCAAGCAATTTTTGTCATTTAATAATTTAATTAATAATTTTATTAAAGAATATGTAATTTCGTTCTTAAAAACCTAACATATAATCTAACCTTTTCATTTTCAGTGCTAAATAGTTTAGTTGGATTTTAATTGCAAATTTAGCGTACAAAGCAAATTGTTAGAAATTATTTCTTTGACATTATATGTGTGTATAATTTTTTATTACGCGTCTCGACGCGGTACTCCCGAATTGTGAGTGTTACGAATACAATCCATACAATGCGCGGCTTTAAAAGCTGCGGTGCCTCCGAAGTTAATGGCAAAGCAAATAATGTTATAAAATAATACTGCTCTGCGATTGAAATATATTTTTAGGACGATTTAAATGTCAACATTAATTTGTGCGCTAGTATTAAATCAACAGAAGCTTCAATTACCAATCGACTTTTACCTTTTAACAAAATATGTGCCAAATGCCTATTTGTTACGCAAACTGCTGCAGCTAACAATATTATGTGTAAGTACACGTTTGTTATATTTTTTTCAGTGATTTAAAAACTAATTTAAGCTTTAACAGCCAAATATTCTCAGAACCGATCCGTTTCTTTTCTCCTTGTTGAGACTGCACAATTTACTTTTAAGTTTACCTTTTTGTGGAAACGCCTTTCAACCGTCGGGTTGATATCACTAAAAATTCCTCGATGTATAATTCACGTACGTTTCGAGATTACCAGTGTGATAATTGGCGCACGATGTAGCCGTTTATTCAAGACACGATAGACATTCATTTACGGATGGCATGTGCGCCGCGAGTCCGAAACGGGATGACGCGACTCTCCGAAACTCGGAGATGACGCGTCCCCCGTTGTTCTCGAGCGGTGGCAGGCGAATATGCCGGCCGTAAAAAGCAGGGTGGATAATTGCAGCGGTGATCGTCTATGCCACCTGCTGCCAAGGCTAACGTTACCGCGATATTCGCATGCGTGTCCCTTTGGCACCGCGAACGGCCGCGCTCGTTAATGAGCGTATATTGATCTCCCGAGCGCCGCATGACCGGACATCAAAGAGTAGACGAGCAACAAGTATCCCGTCGGGAGAGAGAACCG